CTATCATGGTAGACCACATATGATCAACTGATTTGTGTCTTGCTCTGATTTGAGTTTGCCAAAAATCCTCAATATAAATTGTAATCTATAGAATTGCTGCTCCTAAAATTCTCATTTATCAATCTTTGATATCGTCCAGAGATGTAGATGCCTCAGAAAAGAGTGGTAGAGATGGTTTCGGATGCAACTCACAGCAGACACAACATGGAGTGGAAATGTTTGGCTCAAGAAATTCATCTTTGCTTAAGTCAAGCTTGAGAAGGTGAAATTGTCAGTAACTGACTGGGCTGGACATGAGTGCCATGTTTGTAGCGAAGCAAATAAGCTGGAAAACGAGACAGTGATGAATTTTGGCGGGACAAAAAGGTTTTGCAGCAGATGGTGATCAAATAGGGTAGTTTAATAACAGAACTGCACCCCCAACAATGCAAAAACACCATGATGCATTTGTACGCCATGAGCCCATATTTGGTGAACAAGACGAACATTCTGCCACCTGCTTCTGTGTTCAATTCGTGGAAAATAGGTTATTATATTATTTAATGCTATTCCCCGTTTTAACTCTTGCTTAGCTTACTAGCTCAACGGCTATTTTTTATACCAATGATTGGATCTGGTAAGATGCTTGCTTTTGGAGATCAGAGTTAATCATTATTCAGATTTATCGAAAAGTTTATTCAGCGATTGACTATAACGTCAATTGCATCGACAAATCAAATGGCTGTAGTTCTATTCATTCTTCCGCTATACCGGAAACATCCTCGGGACCAAAAAGTGTTTCCCCAAAATTTCATAGACGAAAGATAAACGCTTAGTTGTATCCACCGTTGTGCGAAAGAGCCTACCTAATATTGGCTATCGTTGTACGAGCGAAAGTCACAATGATTCCCGTATCAGATGTCATCTATACCTATAATCTATGCCATAGCTCGCTTAAGGTTTAAAAAAGAAAGAAAGTTGGTGGTTATAGATAAGCAATTTTTATTATTCTCTACTATGCTTTCATCTTTTCAGCAAGGATAAATTTTCCGTATACCAAAATTCCACATTAGAACATGAAATAAATAGTAAAAGTCCTTTCATAAGTTTCCAAGAAGCTAAGCTAAAAAAAGACAGGACATCAGTGACCACAATTTCCAAAAAATATTTCAATAAATACATCAATTTGAAAGCGTTGCATTCCGATTGTGCTCCTTATAGTCCAAGTCTGCAAGTAGCCCTGACGATGGGATTTCGAGATTTCGCAACGCGATGACCTTTGCAACTGTAAGCAGAGACATTTAAGCGCCCATGATAGGAATAGAGTCGCCTTTTTACTTACTGGCATTGGTAGCCTCCACTACAGTATCTGTTGTGTACCCTTTCGCATTTCCCGTAAGCTCTTCCAAAACATTGCCTGCAGTAGTCGGAACAGCTTTTCCACAATATACCAGTAAAAAACTGAAATAACACATATATGATGACG